TGATGAATATTTCATGATACAAATACAGTAGAACCTCGATTATCCGGATTGTTCAAAATAAACAAAAATTTTACGGATTTGCACTTGGCAAATTACGACTGTTTATGTACGTGATGGAATGCATAACTTTTTTTGTTTCAACGTCTCACCCGGCACAGTGGCCGTAAACTCTTAAATATATTTTGTGTCGTAATAAAAATATAACTTGACATACGTATTTATAAATAATTTATATTCAAATTACATCATTTCTATGACCAAGGGCGGCGTAAGGCATGGACGACGTGGGCCACCGCCTATGCCTCGCGGTCCGAAGGGCCTCGCGCCTCGAAGGTTTATGCATTACTTAAAAGCCGCGAACGCGACGAAAAAATTTTACTTGTCATAAAACGATAAATTGTTTGTCAAATTTTTATTCATAAAAATGCAGTTTCAACTGCTTTTTATTTTATAAAATCCGTCTTCTTGCGCCTCCAGAGGGCCTTTTAAACAATAGGTAGTCTATTAGCGTTGGTCAGTAGTAGTCCAAATTCAATACGAACGTTTGTTTCTTGAAAATTTGATCACGATTTAAATACAGTATTTACTTTTAATATTACCGATATATCATCGAAAAGAAAACGTGTTGTATTATCATTAAAAGACAAAGTATTTGTTTTGAATATCCGGATTTTTCCTTATCCGGACTACCTTCATCCCCAACTAGTCCGGATAATCGAGGTTCTACTGTATTCTGATACAAATTTGTATCAGAATATTTGTATCATATTGTGAATACGGGGGGTTTGGTTAGTCTCCTGTTCATTTGTCAGGACGTCTGACCAGGGGCGCCGCTAGCTGTTTGAACGCCCGTGTGCAATACCGATTATGCCGCCCCCTGTTTAACTACGATTACCTATGCTGAGCTTGCCAGAAAGGCTCTTTGCCGCCCCCTGGACGTGCCGCCCGCGTGCGGTGCACGCCTTGCACGCCCGCTTACGGCGGCCCTGCGTCTGACTCTCAAATGTCAGGCGAGTGGATGGAGACAATTTGGGGTCGACGATAAGGTGAAGGACGTGATCGAGTAAAGGAGTCTACTATATTTTCAACAATTTATTAAAACAAGCGAATTAATCAAAGACTACACAAATTACGTTTAAACCGCCTAATATGCTCTAGAGAGAGTTTTCCGTTTTCATACCTCTTTATGGAGTTCCTTGCTCGGTTTAATCCGGGGAGGCGCTTAAATGTTCAAATCTATGCTCCACAGGAGCACAAATTTAAAAAGTTTGCGACTTTTGCGAAGATTTAATTCGAGGTCCATTGGAGATCGGAATTTGGCGGGTTCGGAAGATCGGCGCGATGTCGTTAGTCCTGCGTTCGTTCGTAGACTCCCCCGAGAGGGGATAAGAACTGTCTTTTTATAGGTTTTTTGTGGGGAATTTCCACCACGTGATCGGATGTTCATGAGTTAAAGGTTACAGGTGTTCCTGGGATCTAAAACAAATGACGACATTTAGATGCTAACTGTAAACCTTCTTGCAAGACGAGATGCAAGTTCTGCAAAGAACAATGGATGTTGCTAGTTATGACTGGAAAGTTTACACAATCCCGGTTAAAAATCGTTTTTTCTTCTTCTAGGGCGTTACATGAACGAAAGTTTAATTAATTAACATTTTTGTTAATAAACGAGCGGGATTTCCGTCACAAAAATTCCGGATCTCACAATATCATATATTTGTATCATATCATGTATCATATAATATTTATCGGCATCTGTACAAATTTGTATCAGATGCCGATAAAATGTAGATCAAAGATCATCTCTTATTAGCATTCAATGTAAATTTTACCAGTTGATTTTCTGTAAGGAAAAAATGTTTAACTGCAACTGGTACTGTACTGTACGTCAAAAAAATAAAAATATGTTATTTATTGATCCAGCCTTATCAAATTATAACTTTCCAAAACATCATCATAGCTGGCTGCCTCGGTTGATTATTTATTAATCCACCTTTATAAATTTCATAAAAGCGTATTTTTCTTCTACAGAAGAGACTAAGTGAATTAATGCGAAGTTACAATTTTAAGTATTAAATATGAAAATTTATTTACTGTATTTTCTATTTTGCTGACTAATGAAATAAATATAATTAATAAAATTAGGATGATAAAATTAAACAGACTTAATGGCATAATATTATGCAAAATAAATTATTTGGAATTTTCTTCAAAATTTGTATACCTTCAAGTAAATGTATTTTTTAAAGGTTATTTTAATTAAAGGGATGTACTGTAATTGTAGAGAAAAAATGTTTTATTAATTTTGAGTTCCTCTGGATGTTTCTTATATCATAATTTTTTTTAGATTTATGGTATCAATTTACATTACTTAATATGTATATCTAAATATATAAAACACATTTTCTTACTGAAAAATTGATCATTGGTACAGTGAACTATCAGCAAAATTAAGGAAGTAACATTTAAAATGAATAGAATAAATAATTTTTCATTAACTTAAAGGACATTTTCTTTAATAAATAGAATATTTAAAGTTTCACAAGGACAGTATCTCTTAATTATTATTTTTGAAAACAAATTTTGAAAAAACAAGATTTTGAGTGAAATTTTAAATTTTTTTTAGTGAATTTATGTATAAACATTTCTACAAGAGTATTTTTTAAAATATATTTTTACTATTTTTATATGTAAACGAGTATTTTCTGTTTATCCCACACGAATATTAAATTATATCGCCTTTCATATATCAGTGAAAGATGATATAATTTACATTGTCTTCTATTACCCTTGTTTAGTATATGAAAACTTCTTAAGATGTTTCAGAAATTTTCTAGTAAAAATAAGAAATTAGAGTTAAAATTAGAAAAAAAAAAATTGATATATTCATCTGAATTAACTCCATAATACTTCCAAATATAATTATAAAAACACATTAGATATGCATATTGCTGCAAATATGACGTAACCTTATTGAAGCACTGTGCGGTTCATTTGTTTTCATTGCAATCTAAAACGAGTGAATCAAATGTGCTAATAGCTTCAGTTTCTGGCACAAGATCATCGTTACTTTTAAGGTAGTTTTTTAAATTTTATTGCCATTTAAACTTTACTAAGTGTGATTGATAGAATGCATTTGATATTAGAGTAATAAAAAAGAAGTGATAATTTATAAATTTGAACATACACAATTCTAAATTTAACCATTATTGATTTTCCAATAAAATTGCACACTTTACACTTAATTTTTTTTCTGTCAATTTTTTTTTTCAAAATAGAAAATTTCCTATAAAGTGATATGCCAATGAGATCTTTTTATATGTAATAATTATATTTCTAAAGTACAGTAGAGCATCGAATATCCGACTCAATTGGGGACTCGGGTGGTCGGATAACTGAAAAAATCGGATAACCGAAAATGAAAAAAGTACATTATTAGTAAAGTATATTAGTATACCCCATGTAATTAGTTTATTAGTATATCGCTATTAACCTACTTTGCGTTGAATTTATATCGATGTTAAGCGTAACAAAATTTAAAAAAAAACAACAGTCGTCGCTATTGTATCGTTAAAAATTATTTTAAAATTATTTTATTGCTCACAAAACAACCAACCACTCGTAATTAGAAAATTAAGTCTCGTTTAAATACCCCGTGTTTCTTTATGCAGCGAGAGTGTAGCGAAATGACGTCACGAGCAGTGTTGGCCAATTAGAAACCAGTTTCAGTGTGTTCGCTGTAAAGCGCTTCTCGAGCGCTGCATAAAGAAACGCGGGTATACTGGCCTCCCTTTCATGGTCGGGCCATGTTGCCAGCTAAAACACGCAAAAATTTAACAAAAATAATATTAAAGTAGCCAAGACATACCCAAATATTGTAGCGCCACATCACTAGCGGACATTTGAAATTTGCAGACTAGAACGGTCGGTTAACCAATGTGACGGTTAATCGGGGGTCGGATAATCGATGCTCTACTGTATTTAATTTTTAAAGTTTTATAAATATTTTATGAACTTTTTAAAAAGTTTTAAATACTGGATGTTCTCTATTTAATATTTAAAAGAAAAATTGATTTAAAGAATGATATATTGTAGAACAGCCACAAGAAGCAATATGTATTGAATATATACACCAGAATTTACTAATACATTCAAAAGTATTTGGTTAAAATACAACTGTATGAATGTGTGGTTGGCTAAAATACAACCATTAAAAATATGGGATGAGATAAGTTTGAAAAAATACAGAATTTGCAAAGACATGTTGCTTTACTGCATTTGGTTCTGGAGTTCATTTAGCTTGTTATAAAATGAACACTTTGCATGATCAGACAAAAAACTGACAAAGAAACTGGAATTATCGCTTAGGTGTGAAGTGATTGTTTTATTTTGCATGATCCGAGGAATTAAAGAAGTCATACTGCCATTCTTACTGTATTGTATCAAGGTTGATATGTATTGGTATAAATTAAACACTATAAGTTTAAGCAGCAAGATCTTGCAGTTGTTGAAGGCCAAATTAATGATTAAGGGAATCAATCATTGATGTTGCTTATTCTCTTAAATTTGTCATTCATGCACTACAGTCTTTAGTACCATTGGCTATGAGTTGAGTTGTATATTTATGTAATGTCATGTATAGGATTTTCATCTGTTTGAGGTGAATAGAGAATTTGTTGATTGCTGTTCCCAACACCCTGCTGTTTATTCTCAGTGGCTGCATATCAATGGAGTTGTATATTAATCATTGTGTATGCCATATATCATGTGAGTTGTTTCATAGATAAACAATATTTCAGCTACTAATGACAGATGATCCACATTAACTGTGTGATACTGTAACAATACAAATTGTTTCCTTTTTAAGTTATCAGTTTGATATTTTATATAATATTTTATGATAATGCTAGAGTAAATTAAGATAATGAGTGGAAGCTATTCATATTTTATTCAGTTTATTGAAAAGATAAAGTTGATTTTTTTAAATTTACTTTTTACAGGTACGCCATATAAATATGACCCAAACTTCCAAGGACCATTTGAGAAAAGGTAATTATGATTACTGTATTTTTGCAAATGTATACTGCTTCATAATCCCCCTACTTTACATTTTGACCTATAGGAACAGTCATTACTTCGTAGACATGGGTTTATGATTGCAAGTTAAAATCATCACATTACTTGATCATATTACTTGCTCCCTTGTAGTTAACTTTGAGTTGTGTTTATACACATGAAAATATAGTACATTTTGTAAATGGTTTCTACATAATTTTTGTAATGATTCACTTAGTGATCTTACATCTATCATTTGAATTATTACAATATACTAAATATATATATACACACAGTGGGTGATTGGTTAACGAACAAATCGGATAACAAACACTTGCGAAAGATTTTTATGATCGGACAACAAACACGTGTTTGGATAACCAACACTTCACTGAAAAAACATGCAAAGAAGTGACGCAAAATAACGAATGCCGATTGATTCTCCTTTGTCTTCAGGTAACAGTTCGAAACCTTTCGGAGTGCGGGATATGTTGACATCGACGTTCAACCCGGTATATATAGTGATCGGATAGTATTCCTCCGAACTTTGAAACTCTCCTTTGTAATTCCAGCCTTTTATTTTTCTGACAGAAATTTTTTATAGTATTCATGAGACTGTCGGGCGGGCATTCGTTAAGTTTCGCATCGGTTTTTATTTTCGAAAGGAGAGAGTACAATAGCAAAGGTAGTGAGTGGGCAGAAGATATTCGATGTTGCTGGGCAGTATGGCTTGAACAGGGCTACAATAGGCAGCAGTTCAATCTTATCTAAAAAAGTTACAGTATAATCAAGAAGACTCAAGCAGCTAAAGAAGTAACAAAAATCACATCTGAGAAATAAAGAACATTGAAAAGCTCACAATGGAACCTGAAACGGATCTGATGACAGAAGAACGCCAAAAACTTGAATGAATAAGACCAAGAAACTCGGCGAAATACGTTTTATTCTGAAAAAGAGGACTAATGCCGATATCTGCTATTAAAGATCTTTTGTAGTAGTAGTAGGAGGATGTCAGAATAACGATCTTAGAATGGCATCCAAACCAGGTTCAGAATAATAAGCATGGGGATCTCTAAATGACAATGCTATTAATTACTTCCAAAAAATCCTGAGGAAGAGAGAGAAGCAATTGACAATGGACAGATTCTCTAACCCCTACAAATGGAAAAACATGACTAATAAAAATGCAAGACTGTATATATGTATTTTTATTATTACATATAAATAAACCTAGTAAGAAAAAATATTTTTTTATTTATGGAGTTTCCAGAACGAATTAATCAAACTTCCATAAAAATATATGGTAAATCGATAATCGGTTAACGAACAAAGTCTTGGAACAGATTATGTTCGTTAACCGATCACCCACTGTATTAAGAAATTAAGGTGGTGTAATGATGTAGAATTTGGACCTTGTAACAAATAGTTCAATAGTGATACTAAAATTTGAATGGCTTTGACAATCGTCATAGTTAAATAAATAGTGATAGTTAAATCATGTAGCACAGTGATTCCCAACTGGAGTATCCATACCCCCAGGGGTATTGCACTTGATGGTTTAGGGGTACGTGAAAAAAAAAAATTAATAATGGTGGATGTACTATAATACAGTAGAGCGTCATTTATCCGAATCAATTGGGGACTGGGGTTTTTCGGATAACCGATTTATGTATGAAAAATATATTAACCAATCCCATGTTGAAATTTTTCTCCGTTGTGTGTCACTTCGTGTTGAATTTTCGTTGATATTAAGCCTAACGAAAACTTTTTAAAATAATAATCATAGCTATTTTATTGTTAAAAATTATTTTTTTATTTTGTACAAACAAAATAAATATATTGAAAAATATAAAAACCAAAAAAATATACTTTAGAAGTTGATCTAGTATCAAAAACGTTCGATTCAGCATGACACAGTCCTCAGAAAAACATCACACAAAAGTGCCAGTATTGCCAGCTAAAACACACACACACCAACCAAAAAAATATTGGAGTAGCCCAAGATATAGCCAAAGATTGCAGTGCCACAACACTAACGAAAATTTAAATTTGCCAACTGGAATGCTTTCGGATAACCGACTTTCGGATAAATAACGCTCTACTGTAATATTTAGATTCTATGTCAATTATTTCTATGATTCTGTACCTTTGGTGATGTCGTGGTACTCGATGCTTAGCTTTAAATAAAAATGTGTTCTTTCTCTAACTTTTTTTTTATTTAAAAAAGTTTTTTACACGTAATTTGATGAACATGTGAAATAAAACTTAACAAAAATGGGGAATGAAACTTAGGAAAGTGGGCTGTCAATGGGTGCAAGTCAAGAAAGGTTCGGAACTGCTGATGTAGAATAATAGTAATCTATTTAGAATTCATTTGAATTTTATAAAATTAACTTTGATAACAATGTCAGAAAGATAGAATGATTAGAAATACAGGGTATCTGAAAAGTTAAATGCAGTGGAAAGTAACTTTTGCAGTGGAAGTGCACAGTAACTTTACAGACACTCTATACTTCATAATGTTAATTTTCATCCTGACAACTAAATTTTTATTGAAAAACTAGAGCAAAACTTACAAAGTAGGATTGGCGATTAAAATATTTTGGTATTTATTAGTTTGCAAATACAGTTGAACCTCACTACAAAGATATTTTAGAGACAAGGAATATAGTATTTCTATATGGGGTTATTGTTGTAGTGTGGTCTTGAAGTTTAAGAACTGAGATCATTAAGAAACTAAACATTAATTTAAATATTAGTCACTACTGTTTAAATAATGCTTTCTGATTCTGAATTATTTATGAAACAGGAAATTGTATTACATTGTTTTGAACTTTATATAGTCTTAAAAAAATTTGTTTATTTTTGCTTTGGTTTATTTTTTGCAAGCTCTGGTTTACAAATGTTGAACAAACTGCATTAAGAGCAGCCATTTGTTTCCAGTTCCAGGAATTGTGGTTGCCATGTGTTGAATTTTTTCCATTTGAGAAGTAACTTCTAAGATAATGGGGAGTTTACATGGAACTAATTCTTCTTCCTCTTTTACATCTTGGACATCAGTTCATAACTCTACCAGAATTGCCTCATCTGTGCAGTTTCTCATAATAGGATTGGCTGAGATAGCGATGATTGATTACAATGCTGCCGATTAATTAGATGTGGAGAAACCATTCTGGAGTGCAGAGGGGATCTGTAGATAACACAAGCAGTTATTTATTGTGACATCATCACAATGCTGGTTTGTGATTTTTAATCATATTTTAAATTTATTTAACTTAAAATATGTGCTCTCCACCTGAAATTAGCAGTGGCTTGCCCCTGTACATCATACTTTTCCTTTAATAGTAATACTTTTCCTTTCGTGTCAGTCATCTATGTAACAACTTTTAGGGAAAAATTTTTGTATTAAAATAACATGACTTCTGGTTTGCATTGTTAGTTTGTATATCATTAATCGGGGCCTCCAGCTCCTAAACTTTCCACATCTGGTCTAGTCTTTCACCTATGACTCTGTTCTCAAGATTAAGGAAAGATTTTATAAATTGCCACAATGGGAATTTATAAAGTCTACAGTTTTTTCAAATTGCAGCCAAATGATTAGCTAGTAGATGCTTCAAGTTCTTTGCCACATGGTTCATGCATGGGTTAGCCATGGGTTGCATCAACACATCCTTGATAGTTGTATCAGTTTTTACTATCGTTGTAGCGGGTGATAAATAACAGTATTTGTATAGGACTTTGGCTGGGACCACAGAAGTTCTATCATTGTACTGGAGTTTATTGTTGTAACTGGTATCATTTTAGAGAGGTTTGACTGTATTTTAGATTATAAAAGTAGTCATTTATAGATGATGTAAGTTAAACTTCAGGACTTCCCTGAAATTCAGACTTATGTTTACTTCAAGGTTATTACAAATACAAAAAAACTATTCCTTTTTTGGAAGTTTTGGTTTTATTGCATTAATTTTTAAACTGTCCTGTTTTCCAATAATGTTTACATCACTTTTAAAGTTCTTTCAGCCTTCTGGCTCCTTATCAAGTTATCTTGTAAATACCAGGGCTGTGGAGTTGGAGTTATGAATTTATGGTATTTTAGGCAGTCAGTCTTGTCAAAAATTGTTTCATTTTGTATGTTTTTTGTTTTTTATTTAAATAATTTGAGAATCATCGTCATTATTATTTTTCATTATCGACTGTAGTACATACATGGCAATGACGTACACCTAGGAAAAAATTCAGTTCAACTTTTTTAAATTGCTAAAATTTGATTCTGAAATGGCATTGGTGTCAAAGTGTAAAGTGGAGTCGGTAGATTTTTAAATGTCTCCACAGTCATGGTAAATACACAATGAAGCAAAAAGCATAAATAGTTTACAATTAATGTATTGTTAGGGTCTTCCATTATGGCAGAAAATACAGGGTTTTGGTTATTAAAAAAAATAAATTTTTTGATCTTTTCAATTTTTATCACCAGACAGTAATTAAGCTTAAAAATTAAAAATGTTTTGATTTTATTAGTTCTGTTGTTTTTAAAGCTTTATGCCCTGAAAATAAGTGAAGATGGGTCAAAGTATTAATAATAATTTAACATTTTTTCATTTCCAAATAATGCCAAAATCTGACAAATTAATTTAAATATCAGACGAACGGCCAAATTCCTTTATCAGGCTATTTTAGGCTAAATAATTAGTGATACCTCGACTTGCGCTACCCCGACTTACGTGATTTTCAAATCTCTTTGATTCGTCTTTTGTTTGAGTGGCATACAACTCTTGATTACTCACTCCCCCCACACTATTGGGCTTACATGTTCGGACATGTCAGATGGCTTACATGTTCGCGGAATCGACACATATCTACAATTTATTTTGTGTTATTTATTTCTGTGTTTGTTATATCTACGGAGACTTGAGAGACTCTACTATGTCATCTAAACGAAGTAGAACTGATTCTTCTGCATCAAACAAGAAAATAAAAACTTTATCTTTGGAATGTAAAGTTAACATTATTAAAGACTTAACGACACAAAAATGAAAATTTGTGAATTGGCAAAGAAGTTTGATCTACCGGAATCGACGGTCAAAACAATTATAAAAGGTAAAGAAAAAATTCTCGAAGCTATAAAAAATGCTCAATCTTTAAATTCAAGCATCATTCGTAAACGTCACGGTATTATCCCTGAGATGGAAACAATGTTAAAATTATGGTTTGATAATCGAGTAAATGTGAAAAATTGTATAATATAATTTGTCATACATATATATTATCTAAGATTTTATTAAACATTTTTTTCTAAATTATTGTTTTCTTTAGTCTCCGGCCCCAATTAAAAATTATTTGTATGTATTTATATGCGAAATTAAACCCCGAGTTACACAAATTTGACTTAGGCAGTTATCGCTCGGTCCCACCTATCACGTAAGTTCGGGGTATTACTGTACTATGCATTGCGGCAGGCTGTCAGTTCATCATCATTTATTTTTTTTAAATTTTTCTTTAATTTTACATTAAAAATTTTTTGAGGTTTCATTTATAATTATTATTTAATGCATTTTTATTGATAATACAATTTTAAACAAATATATATTTACATATTGCCAAGCATAAACAAATTTTTTAATATTACAATATTATACTATATTATATATATTTCCATTCATACTTTTTGTAATAAATTATATATATTTCCATTCATACTTTTTGTAATAAATTATATACAGTAGATCACAACTTTATGACCACTTACGGTATAGACACCTGTGTTGCAACAGATATAAATTTTCTGTTCTAGTAGTATACACTGCATATTTTTCACTGTCTCTCTCTATATAGTAATTTACAGTTCAAACTGAGTAGATTATGATAGCCTTCAGTGGGAAGGTGATCATAATCATTTGATTTTGAAAATCTATAGTGAATTGTATTTGTAGATTAGTGTCTTAAGATAACTACGAAGAGAAACTTATAATGTGGTTTATACAATAATAACTTTAAACTATTTTGTATAAATCCAAATTGTTTGAAAAACATAAAGGATTTTGTATTTGATTAAAGTTTTAGAATAATTTAATTAGGTTTATAATCAAATAGAAAAAAAATAATTGGAAGTTGATGCATGATTTAATCCAGATAAATGTTTTTGGAATTTCAGATTAAATTTTGTCTTGACTTTTTCAAGTGTATTATTGTTATTATTATTCAAGTGTATTATGTTTCAAGTGTATTATTTTTTTTGTTTAATTTTAATTAGGTAATTCAGAATAATTTAAATGTTATCTGGAAATAAATTTTTCAATTTTTCAATTATATTTAACTTAAAAACAATTTGAAATTTGGAACTTTCCGAAGTTTTTGTCTATCTTCAAGAAATGCTTAAAATGCTGTTACCCAAAGCTGGATGAAAGTCTGAAAGTGTTTGAATGTCAAATTGTTTAAATTTTATGCTTTAGTAAAGCAATAATTTGTTTCTGCAGAATTTTATGCTAAGGTTGCCATAATACAAAACTATCAGATAGTCAATTAAGTAGAAAAATGTAAACAAAAATATCAAATTTTTGTGTTCGTTATTATCACTTAGGCTAATATCACTTATGGATTTTGCAATTATCTAAATTGTTTGTCTTATCATTGTAAGAACTATTTAAGGTAATAAAATTATATAAAATTTACATGATTTGATTTATTAGTAAATTAAAAAATTAAAAAATTTATTATTATTGTTATTATTAAGGAGCTGTACTGACATTCCTTGTTGTTTAATATTTCTTATATTCATTATTGGATGGATTGCTCTTGCTGGATTTGGTAAGTAAGAATTTATATATTGTAATTGTTTGATTTTTAATAATTTTATTAAATGAATAACAGATGTTATATTATGTAAGAATTTTATCTACTATAGTAATTTTACCATCTCATGCATTTAAATACAGGATGAGTTGGAATTATTTATAGACACCAACAGTTTGTAGTTCATGAATATGCAGAAAAATATCATTTGATCAATGAATATAATTCAGTTATTGTAAGATGACTGTCATTTTCCATCCACATATGGTCAAATTATATAACATTTTCAAATTTCTTTTATTTCATCTAACATATATTCGTTTTTCAACCAGTAGAAACAATGGCAATCTGAAAAGAAAAAAATATAAAATGGTTATTAGTTTATAAATTGTTGAAGTATGTACACACAATTTTGAATGACACTTGCAAAAATTAATGATAAATATTTTTGTTCAAAATGACAAGTATTGAATATTAAATGAATTTTGTTAATTAAATAAATTCTCTTTATTAAACTCAAACAAAATAAATTGCTTTGAAAAAACTGATTTTTTAACAAAGGAAGTGAAATATTAAAACACAAAAATGATTACAGTCAAATCCCATAAATACAAAGTTGAAGGAACTTAAAAATTGGCACCTTGTATTAATGAATTCTGTATTAATTGGACAAACTACTCACCACACCTCAACAATTTTTCGTTTATCGTATCACACTGTAAATTGGTTCAGTGTATGTGATTATTAATTGGACTTGTTAACATTGAAATGTCTATCCGCAGGACCACAAATCTACTTTGCATTAATGCAGTCTTTACATAAACCAATGACATCATAACTGGGTTTGACTTTAAAGTGATAAATTGCTTCAATTTTAAGCAGAGTTTTCAAGTAATAAAAAAATTGTAATTATATGAAACAATAAATTATTAATCTTAAGGGTTTTGGAACAAATGAGAGTGATCTTTTTAGAATTACTAAAATGTTTTCACATATCATCAAATTGTTTGATTCAAATTTTATTTTATTGTGTAATGCTTGAAAATTGTTCCAGTTTATGTTACAAAGTGCTATTGTTAATTTCATTGTCTGACTTATTCAGGATTTAAATTTAGCATATTGAATGTTTTTAATTAAGTAATACTTACATAGATTTAACCTTGGAAACAATCCACAATGCGATTGTGATATCCAGGAGGACCAAACACCACTTCACTTAGTTTTTCACTGCAGTAGGTACAATCACATTAGGGATAGTTTAATGAGAGCTGCTATTCTTGAAGGGTACAATTTGCCTTGCAATCTGCACTAATTCATTCACACATGTACTGTACAATGTTCCATCATTTACTCCCATTCATATTCCTTAGTGGAGCTCTTGAGAGCACTCCCTCAGGGGGCACAGATGGCAATTTGCTTTCCTTTAACTATCAGTATATAGTTGCCTTTCAACTTTATATATTAATTCTTATTTTCTGTCTTCTTTACAGTCTAAATTCGGTTAGTTTAAGTTAGCCCTAGTTGTAAGTTAGATTAGGGACTCAGCTTGGTTTTTAGTTAGGTTATGATAAGTTAGGTTATGATTTAGGTTAGGATTATTAGGTTATGTTATTTTAGGTTATGATTTAGGTTATTAGGATTATTAGGTTATGAATTAGGTTAGGTTATGATTTAGGTTAAATTAGACTAGGGTTTGTTAGCTTTAGTCATCTGGTTAAGTTCATCCTAGGTTATGGTAGGTTAGGTTAGTTAGTGAGCAAGTTAATGTTTAAAAAATAAATTAAAAATAAAAATAAATAAAAAAATTGGGGTTTTGCTCGTTTGTCTTTGTTGGTCCATTCATCTTGTCTAGTTTGTCGTTATATTTTTTTGTTTTCACACCGTCTGTCTAGCTGTTAATAGTATTAAGATTCACGTTCACATTTAGTTTTATTAGTATTAAGTATCAATAGTTATAAGTCTTCATACTAACAGCCACTTGGCACTAACTTCTACACTTAGCTATTCATGGCAGCATTCAGTTATTGGTGTTTGCTACACTCAGGCTTTCTTTTAGACCCTTTGAGGGATTACAGTCATGCAGCCGAAAATCTACACACCAGCATTAAACATAAAGGGTACAGTAGCCTTATGTACACCAATCAGAGGGATCCTACCTTTCTGTACTGTCTATCTCATTTACCCTCTTTTCCACTAGCTAAACATCTTGTGTACAGCCAATATCTTTCATGTATGTTAGTGTGTGGAGGCATGGTTTTGTTCACCCTGTTTGAAGCTTAATAACTCCCATGCTTTTTGTCGAAAACTTCTGAAATTTTGCTGGGGGTTTGTGTATTGGGGGATTGATGCTATTAAAGTGTGGCAGTTAAAGGTTGACTAGGTAGGGTGATTAAATGGAGGTTATGTGTCTTATCTCCAGTGGAGCTGAACTTAATGACAATTTTAACTCTTGATTAGCATTTACAATTTTTTATAAAATCTGTCCCTATCCTTAAAATTAAGCTTTTTGCCATTTTATAATAATTAAAAATATAAAAAATTTTAAAATCAAATATCGTAACAGATGGCACCACAAATTTTTAAATGTTGTCAGGAAAGTTAAGCAACTTGTTGCTGGATTTTATAATCTTAAACTAATGTATGTCAGCTGCATAACTAACAATGTAAAAAATGGTGTTGTTAAGTACAAAAATATGCTTAATATACCACATAAATCTTTTATGTTTGTGATTTTTAATCCAAAATGTCTGTGACTATTATCCAAATTTTTGGTTGTCCAAGGTACATACCATCAGTTCACATTACCTCAGATAATCGGGGTTCTACTGCAAGTCTGTAAATTACATTGGTTTGTTTTATTCCATAATATTTTTATATTTAAAATATTGAATATTCTAAATCTAAATGTTGAGATGTTAAATGATGAAATTAATAAATATTCTTGGTTTTTCAATCAAATTTTATTTTTGTAGCAATGAAGATGGTTCAAGTTTACATTATAATCTTTGTAGAAAAGTATGATAGAAAATTGTTTTAACTTATTATATTTTATAAATATTAAAAACTATTCCTTGGTCACTGAAAAGCTGGAGCTTTAATATAGAAGTTTAAAATCTTTTATCTCATATTTATAATAAATACAAATAACCTGATAATTATTTCGAATACCAAACAGCCAGCCAGATTTCTTATTGGGCTATAAGGCTAAATAATTACTAAGCAGTTTGGCAGGAGGCATGCTGCCATCTCTTGTTAAATACAATAATTATAAATAAATAAATTAATTAAATTTTAGAATGTTCCAGAAGAAAAGATTGGCCTGGAGTGGTATTTGAACCTGCAACTCCTGCTTATTGTGCAGAAGTGTGGCCATTTATATTACCCAGACCTCCAGAGTATTTTATTTATTTACAATTATATTTAACAAGAGATGGTAGCTTGCCTCCTGCCAAATTGTTTAGTAATTATTTAGCTTTATAGCTAAATAAAGAATCCAATCATTAGTTTCTGTCTTAAATACTATCAAAAATCAATTATCCAGCTGAAGAACAAAAGTCAGTTAATTAAATTAACAAATAAAACACACCAAAACGTTTTGCATTAAATATTAGAATTAAGCATCTGGGTTAAAATATTTGACATGTTTCAGAATATTTACATTATTTTGTATCATTGACTAACTGGCTTTGTTTTTTACGATAATAGATTGGGCTTAGTTGAAATAGTTTAATAATAATAATAACTCTCCCATGGTCACCACCTGGTCGTGGTGGGAGAGCCCAGTAGTTTTACAGATCCATATGGCAATGCAGGCTGGAGCACAAGCTCCTGGTAGGGACACCCATGCCAGTAAGGTCTATGGGGAGAAATGAAGCTAAGAGTGACCACACACCCACATTCTGTGGAGATAATCATTATGGTAGTAACCAGATCTAAGTANCCATAGGGCAATGCAGGCTGGAGCACAAGCTCCTGGTAGGGACACCCATGCCAGTAAGGTCTATGGGGAGAAATGAAGCTAAGAGTGACCACACACCCACATTCTGTGGAGAAAATCATTATGGTAGTAACCAGATCTAAGTATGATACAGGTTCGGACGTTGCCTGGGTTAACAAGGTCCGTGTTCGTGGGTTAGGCAGAGGCTCACGTTCAAAAAATAGGCTCCAGTTTCCCTTGGTTACCAGTGGCGAAAGCAGCGCCGGCCCAAGCATGGCTACTGCAATGCCCTCAGCAGATGTGAGGAATCAACCTAGCCTTGGTGTTTCTGTGGCAATGCATCCACAGACCACAAAGGCTGGAAAAACACGCAAACGGATGAAATGGACATCAGAAATGAACGAGTTTATCATTCGCACTTACTATGAAATCACAAAACTCGAAACAAACATGACAGCATACAGACAACAACTACACCATAGATTCACACAACAATATCCTCACCTCATTGTCACCGAGCAAAGGGTTGTTGATCAGAAGAGAACAATTATACACAACAACCTTATCCCACAAACAACACTTGAACTTATCAAACAACAGGTTGCTGATCAAATACATCAACAGACAGAAACACTGAACATTAATGAAGATCACGTAACCTGTCAGGATAATACAGCAACAAGCACTGATTACAGCACACACACAACAAGTACCACTAATGATACTGCAGGCACTTTCCCATCCATCACTGATAACATAGACATAGAATTAGTTAATACACTCTCACTTATATTTCAGGAAACACTCATTAAATATACTGGTACAGATCCCACACAAAGACCACGAATACCAAAAATCAACACGTCAAAGGCAGTAGGAAAAACACTAGATTATGTAAACACTCACTTACTACCAAACTACATTCATTTAAATGCAGTGTGTAGCGTCTGTGTAATCCAAAACGAGTTGGTAGACGAACGGACAGCAATTGGTTAGAAAATGTACGTTTTATTTAAAAAATTCCTAATTCATATGCATTTCGGGTTGGCTTAAATTCCCAACCCCTCTTCAGTGCTGT